TGCGTCTCGCGCCTCGGGGGTCTCATTTTCTGCCCGCACTGCGGCGAGGACGCCTCGGAGGCGCAGGAGGTGACGCTGCCCCGGCCCGAGGGCGCCCCGGCGCCGCCGCCGGGCACGGCCGGGACCCCCCCCGGGCACCCCCCGGGGCACCCCCGCGCCCGCCCCGAGCCCCCCGCGCCCAGGTGCGGCAGCGAGCCCGCTCCGGGGGGGAAAATTTAAATTTGGGTGCAGTTTCTTGATGTTTGGGTTGTTTCTGGGTGGTTTTGGGTGCTTCTTTTGGGTTATTTATTTTGCTGACTCTGGGTGATTTTAGGGGGGATTTTTTTGGAATTTGGCTGATATTGGGTGGGTTTTTTTGGGATTTTGGCTGATTTCGGGTGCTTTTTTTGGGGGGTTTTGGCTGATTTTGGCTCTTTCCCCCCATCAGTGCCCACATGCAGGGGCAGGGCAAGGGCTGGGATAGTTTTTGTTATTTTGGGTATTTTTGGGTGGTTTTTTTGGGGATTTTGGCTGATTTTGGATTATTTCGAGTGGTTTTTTTGGGGATTTTGGCTGATTTTGGGTATTTTTGGGTGTATTTTTTGGGATTTTGCTGATTTCAGGTGGTTTTTTTGGGGATTTTGGCTGATTTTGGATTATTTCGAGTGGTTTTTCTGGGGATTTTGGCTGATTTTGGGTATTTTTGGGTGTATTTTTTTGGATTTTGCTGATTTCGGGTGGTTTTTTTGGAGGGTTTTGGCTGATTTTGGCTCTTTTCCCCCCGGCAGTGCCTGCATGCGGGGGCAGGGCAAGGGCCGGGATAGTTTGGGTTATTTTGGGTTATTTGGGGTTATTTTGGGTATTTTTGGGTGATTTTTGGGGATTTTGGCTGATTTTGGGTATTTTTGGGTGTATTTTTTGGGAATTTTGCTGATTTTGGGTGGGTTTTTTGGGGATTTTGCTGATTTTGGGTATTTTTGGTTGGTTTTTTTGGGGATTTTGGCTGATTTTGGGTGGGTTTTTTGGGGATTTTGGCTGATTTTGGATTATTTCGAGTGGTTTTTCTGGGGATTTTGGCTGATTTTGGGTATTTTTGGGTGTATTTTTTGGGAATTTTGCTGATTTCAGGTGGTTTTTTTGGGGGGTTTTGGCTGATTTTGGCTCTTTTCCCCCCAGCAGTGCCCGCATGCTGGGGTAGGGCGAGGGCCGGGATAGTTTGGGTTATTTTGGGTATTTTTGGGTGTTTTTTGGGGGGATTTTGGCTGATTTGGGGTATTTTTGGGTGTTTTTTTTGGGATTTTGGCTGATTTTGGCTGGGTTTTTTTGGGATTTTGGCTGATTTTGCCTGATTTTGGGTGGTTTTTTGGGGGATTTTGGCTGATTTTGGGTATTTTTGGGTGTTTTTTGGGGGGATTTTGGCTGATTTTGGCTCTTTTTCCCCCGGCAGTGCCCGCATGCGCGGGCAGGGCGAGGGCCGGGATAGTTTGGGTTATTTTGGNCGCAGGAGGTGACGCTGCCCCGGCCCGAGGGCGCGCCGGCGCCGCCGCCGGGCACGGCCGGGACCCCCCCCGGGCCCCCCCCGGGGCACCCCCGCGCCCGCCCCGAGCCCCCCGCGCCCAGGTGCGGGGGGGAAAAATTTAAATTTGGGTGGAGTTTCGTGATGTTTGGGTTGTTTCGGGAGGGTTGTTTCTGGGTGGTCTTGGGTGCTTCTTTTGGGTTATTTTTTGGGTTATTTTGCTGACTCTGGGTGATTTTAGGGGGGATTTTTTTGGAATTTGGCTGATATTGGGTGGGTTTTTTTGGGGGAATTTGGCTGATTTTGGGTGTTTTTTTGGGGGGTTTTGGCTGATTTTGGCTCTTTTCTCCCCGGCAGTGCCCGCATGCATGGGCAGGGCAAGGGCCGGCATAGTTTTCGTTATTTTGGGTATTTTTGGGTGGTTTTTTTGGGGATTTTGGCTGATTTTGGGTATTTTTGGGTGGTTTTTGGGGGATTTTGGCTGATTTTGGGTATTTTTGGGTGGTTTTTGGGGGATTTTGGCTGATTTTGGCTCTTTTCCCCCCGGCAGTGCCCACATGCGCGGGCAGGGTGAGGGCCGGGATAGTTTGGGTTATTTTGGCTGATTTTGGCTGATTTTGGGTGGTTTTTTTGGGAATTTTGCTGATTTTGGGTGGTTTTTTTGGGATTTTGGCTGATTTGGGGTGGTTTTTTTGGGGATTTTGGCTGATTTTGGGTATTTTTGGGTGGGTTTTTTTGGGAATTTTGCTGATTTTGGGTGTTTTTTTGGGATTTTGGCTGATTTTGGCTCTTTTTCCCCCGGCAGTGCCCGCATGCACGGGCAGGGCGAGGGCCGGGATAGTTTGGGTTATTTTGGGTATTTTTGGATGTATTTTTTGGGGATTTTGGCTGATTTCAGGTGTTTTTTTTGGGGATTTTGGCTGATTTTGGATTATTTCGAGTGGGTTTTTTGGGGATTTTGGCTGATTTTGGCTCTTTTTCCCCCGGCAGTGCCCGCA